TGTTTCGTCCTTCATTCCTTCCATGTTAACACATACATGGCTGCAGCAGCACAACACCTTGATACACAAGAGTTCACGTAGAAATTACACAGGGCCTTTACAATCACACTTTGCTGCTTTGAGCCTTACTATCCTCTGTGGTGTTTGTTCCGTCAGCACTATGCGAACCGCACCAGTCTGAGTGCTTTCAATATTTTATGATAAAGCTGTTTTAGCTGCACATTTCAGACATAAAAAGAAGTCTAAATTTAAACAGAGACTGTATTTCTGATAAAAATAGGCTCAAACCAAAAAGAGACATCTTCCTATTCCTATCCCTTAACTAAAGAAAGATTGTTGAGATGTTTTATAATAATATTTATGTAAGAACATTTTAATATTAACAATTAATTAATTGATTAATCTGGCTTGTAGTCTGAACTTTAACCCTATCATCATCATCTCACCCTCAAAATCATTCAAAATAATCTTTCTTTAAACTTTGTTTAATTAATTTACAGTGCCTCGAAAAAGTATTCACACCCCTGGACCTTTCTTCTTTTTTCCCCACCGTGAACTTTTATATATTTAGTTGGATATATCTGTTGGACAAATGCAAAGTAGAACATAATTATGAAGTAAATGCAAAACTGAAAGGTCTTACAGTTTTTTTTTTGCAAGTGGAAAATGAAGAGGTGTGATATGCAGTTTTATTTAATCCAATGTTCTCAGAAATACACAAATAAAATTGACTGTGTGCTTGTTAATTTCCTTATTAATACAGCTATTCTAATGAGGCTTTACTGGTTTATAAGAGAACATGAAGACAAAAGAACAAAGCAGATAGGTCAGTGTTAAAGTTTATGCAGCGTTACGTTATAATACAACATCTCAAGCTATGAACATGTGTTTGACAACTGCTTAAATGACTAAGCTCTGCAAGTAAAGCATTATTAATCCCAGAAGTAGCCAAGAGGCCCAGAGTAACTTTGGGGGAGCTGCAGAATTCAACAGCTCATGTGGAAGAGGCTGTGATGCTTCTGTGGGTGCTTTTCTTCAGTTGACGGGAAGATGGTTAATACAAACTACAGAGACAGACCAAAATGTGGTTGTACAGATACTGCAGGGTCGATCATAAACGCACAACATGCATTGTTTCTTTAACTGTCAGAATTATGGGGGACTTTGTGTCAGCCTTACATTTAAAATCTCAATGAAATAAATTAAACATTAGTGACGTTTAAGGAGTCTTAGTACTTTTGCAAGTCAGTGTTACAGCAAAAATAGAATTTTTAGTGTTCTTTAACTGCGTTTCCTTCCAAGCTGTTTTATCCTGTGTGAAATATTGTGTCTACAGAGAAAATGTGTTCAGAAATCAGAACCTAGTATACTGTTGACTAATGAATCTGTTAATACAAATTCCCACATGGATGAATATGATAAACAATACTTTATAATACCTGTGTATTGCTTTCCATTGCTTGGTGAATTTCTGCCTTTTTTGTAAATTAAGTGCTTTACTTTCCTTAATTTTTGTAATGTCTTGCATTGTCTGGTGCCTGCTTGTTCACTAATTAGAGGGAAAAAAACAGGTGAGGCAGTGGTAACATGCAGTAAGCTTAACCTAATAACTGGACCTTATTCACACACATCACTACAGGAAATGGGAAATGTTTTGTTCAAAAGTTTACCTATGATATTTTTGACAAATGTATAATCCATCTTTGATGCAAGTCAATGCCTGTCATATACAGCATAGAACTCCAGGCAGTCGTTTTTCGACCTGTTGTGTTATGAATGTAGTTGGTTTTATTGTATTTATTACTCGTATTTATTTGTGAGTTCCAAGTGCTGTCAGATGATTTATTTTTTTTAGTTACTGTAACATTCTTAAGCCAAAGTATTTATTTATTTATTTATTTGTTTGTTCTTCTTCTCTGGATGCTGCTTTGTTTGTAAAGCTGAAAGTTTTATTTTGTGGCCAATTTTAGATGTGCAATGTAAACAATCAGATTCTATAATACTTAACATATATACACCTATATATTGAATGGTATATGTTTTTATAATAAAAAATAAAAATGGAATAACTATTTTCCCAAATCGCATTGTAATGTCTATTTTACTGAAAGAGAGTAGAAGGGAAAGAAAATGCCATCAATGGCTAACCAGTATGTTAGGAATGAGTTACTGTCATCACATTTTTGATATTTGGTATTTTTGTTTTAATGCTTCATGTGAGTCTTTGTCATGTTATAGCTTTATGGTGGACTGGTGAAATGAGACCAGGGTGTACCCCCTGGAAGTGCTGGCACTGCAAGGATAAGAGCGAAAATGGAAAAATTGACATTACAAGCAGATCATATTTTTTATGGAGCTCCATAATTTTCTTTCTAAAGGGAAAACTGTCATAAAGTATAATAAATAAAAATACAAATTCTGCCCTATAAAGCAAAAAGGCTATAACTGCATTTTTGGTTGAAATTTTTTTTTTTTTTTTTTTTTTTATAATTTTGATGATATTCAAGGCATCCTTTGTTATGTTACTCAATATCTTATTTCAAATGTGCGTTCTTTTCAAGAAAAATAAACCATTCATCTAACTAGATCTTCCTAGGCTGGACCACACAACTTTTAGGTCATTTAAAGTTTATGCCTAGTTCTGCATAGTTACTGCCATTTTGCTTTGTGGCAGAATTGTGTTGTGCAGAAATACAATATTAAAGAGACATGGAATTGTGCAGGGATAAACATGTCAGAAAATGGATGAATATTTATTGGCTGTCTTTGATTTGGTCTTAAAAAAGAAGTCAATGGGCTGTATGCACAACTCCACTACTTTCTGAAATTATGGCAGCTCCTTTGTTTCTTGTCTTTCTCTACTGGCTGAACTGATTAATCCAGGTGTGTCAGGCCATTGTTGTCGTGGTTACTGATGCCAAACACACCTGGATTAATCGGTTTAGCTAGTAGAGAAAGACAGGAAACAAATTAACTGCCATAAATAAATAATGTGGATAAGAAGGAGGAAATAAGAAGAAAGAGAAGAGGGAAAAAAACAGAGAAAATTGCTGGTTTGAATCCTGCTTGGAGCATGCATTAATTCATGCAAACTTTCACAAAGTGCTCTGAATCTATCAACTATAACTTTAAAACTGATAGAAATACAATAGGTAAGAATAATAAAGCAATTTGTTGCAATAAGAACAATACAGAGAAGATTATTATAACACCTCATATTTGGTTGTCAAATAAAGTTAGGGACATAAAGTTATTTATTTATTTATTTATTTTGTAAATGGACTTCATTGATTGGCTGTGAAGGTTACAGGGAAAAGATGGAAATAGTGGAACGCGACTAGCTCTAAGGAGAAAGATGGAAATACTAGAACGTGATTGGCTCTACAACCACGGCGATTTATGGAACTAGGCTTTCTTGATAAACTTGATTGTTTCATTTTGATTCGGGTTTGAATCCCAAATGCAAATTTAACAAAGTGATCTAAATCTAAAGCAATTGATAAGAATAATAATGCAATTTGTTGCAATAAGGAAAATAGAGAGAATAATATTGTTTAGCCACACACATAATACTGCTTATCATATATTATAAATGTGTTTTTTTTTTTTTTTTTTTTTTTCTGTTAATCATTTTTTACACACTCTCGATCTTTCTGGATCTGTCTGCAATATCAAGCTGTCATTTTCTTGTAGTTTTAATGCTGTAACACTGCATACAGTTATTAATCAGACGTTTATATATAAAAAACAATCCACAATACAATTATGTTGTACAAAGCAAAAAGGCAGTAACTATGAAAAGAGGCATGAACTTTAAACGACTTAAAATTTATATTGTTATATATTGATATTTATTTCCTCAATGTTTCCTGTTTATTTTTAAACATTCACTAAATGTTTATCTAAAAATAGTTTACATTGAACAGATGCAAACGTAATTGCGCCACAAGAGTTAAATCTCAAATTCTGAAAAAGTACGCCCGAACAGGGACTTGAACCCTGGACCCTCAGATTAAAAGTCTGATGCTCTACCGACTGAGCTATCCGGGCGCTCATGTCCACAGGAAAGCGTGAGAAAAATTTTAAAAAAGGAGAAACTCCACATGTATATCGGGATTTTGTATGATCACTTCGTTCCTAGACCATCATTAATCTTTCATTATCTCGTATTAAAAAAAAACAGACGGTATGCCGACCATCATGCCAACTAGTCCAGGTAAATTTCTTTCTTAAAAACCAAACTGAGGACACCTTGTCATACCAAATGTCGGCGCTTTAGTCACAATCTTTATAATGAGACAGATTTACAATAACATTAAAAGGCTAAAGAATCATTGAATTCAAGCCAGCTTCAACCGGAAACGAAAGCCAAGCCAGCCCTTACTGGCTTTTTATTGGTTACGTATACTCTATGAAACACGGTACCAGCGCTGGCTTGGACTTTTCAAAATAAAACCAACAAATGTAACGTTTATCAACAGTACATATTAACAGTGGAAGTTTATTACCCTTTCCTAGCATATTTACAGTTCTCATCGTAAGGATTGTTTTTTTAAGTTTTATGTGGAAGAATATTCGGTAAAAGTATTTCGTATGCACTAATTTATTATTTTATATTCATGACATTTATTTGTATTCTTTAGGCATTTAAGTCTTTAAAATACTAAAACCTGCACATCAAGTTTTGCCAGCATAATTTCTAGATTAAAGTGGATGTTAGTATCCAACAGTTAGACTGCACTAAAGCAGTCTTTTTAACAAAATACTTTTTAAAATTTTTATTTAGGTTATTTCTTGAATTAATTGTTTTACTTAATTAAAAATTGGTAAAGTGGTGTTATTCTTCCTCGAGTACAATTTTTGGGTATTTTTCCCACCTCTGCTTATAAATCATACAAAAGGGAATCTTAGACTTGTTTTTTATTTGTTTTCTGTTTTGCTTCAAGTAAAGTCTGATCTTACATTCACTTCTGATTAATCATTGTCATCTGTTTGCTTACTCTGTTCCCTCCCACAGGTAAGAGGGAAACCCCAGGTGTTCCACCTCACCTGTCTGCAGGTATTTACAGCCCGTCATGAAACTGCGTAGATAAAAGCCATACAGTGGCTTTTTAGGAGAATGGAAAATGAAACTTAAAGAGAAAGGGATATAAAAATCTTCAGTGAAGAAAAGGGGAGGGAGGATTGATTGGACAGTAGCTATATAAACAGCATGGTTAGATCAGCTTCATTAACGATCTGTGAGCACTTGAAGGAGAGTTTATTCATTGGAAATTCATCTCAAGGTAAGTTCATCTCCCTTTGAACATGTTTTTTTCAATCTTCCTCATTAAAAAATGTTGTTACCTTCAACTAAATACTTTCATATACCTTTTTTTAGATAAATTTCATCATGGAAATATTCATCATTTTGATGGATGGGACATCCCGCACACTGAAGGTCAACCCACATCACACAGTGGGTCATTTGAAAAAGTGCATCGAAAAAGAGATGGGATTCCCTGTTTCGATGCAGAAGCTGATCTTCAAAAACGGCCAAAGCACCCATCTGAACGACGACTCCAGGACGCTGAGCTCCTACAGCATGCAGCCGGGCTCCCAGGTGTACCTGTTGATCACTGAGCCGCCAACCCAGCCCTCTACCTTCCAGGTTTTCCTGAAAAATGAACAGGGGATATCCAGCACCTATGATATCACAGAGAAGGAGACTGTGGCGAACTTCAAGAGAAGAGTGCAGGAAAGAGAAGGGGTTCCTGCAAACCAGCAGAGGTTGATCCATGAAGGTGTAGAGATGCAGGGTGGAAAACTGACTGACTACAACGTCAGGGAGCTGAGCACCATCTTCATGACTCTGCGTCTGAGAGGAGGCTGAGGACACAACATGAAAAACTTTCTAGTTTATTTTTTTTGTTTTGTAATTACATTTATCCTAAACTGTTCTCAACTGTTGTTCCTTTTACATGTATTAATGAATACCAACACATGTAGTCTACTTTAAAGTGTGTAATGTAATTGATTAATTAATTCCAATAATAAAAGCGGTCATGAGAAATGCCATGTCTCTTTAATATTGTATTTCTATCTTTCTTCTGATCAGGTTATGCTTAGAAACAAATAAGTTATTCTTTTCCAATGTAATATATATAATTCTCTATTTTAAGGCCTTCCTGTAGATAATTGGAATAGAAATATTTTTAAAATACATATATTGTTTCCTCTATACATCATTCTTTGTGAGTTAAACCAACATTATAAATATGATTATTTTTTAGAATCTATACTAAAGTAGCTCACTGTTCAAGGGGGCTTCAGTGTATATAAAAAGACAGTCTAGCGAAAGGAAAAAGGTGCACAATGTTTGCTTGTTTAAGTGCCTCCTTTAGAATAATTTTAATGAAATTATGTCCTAGAATGAATCTACAGGCAGGCAGGTTGGTGCAAAGAAATCAACTAAGGAAGCAGTTGGAGGAAAATAGAACACATACAAGATTAGTGATAATCTGGATCTGGAGTCCTGAGCAATATTCTATCCCTTGGGGTTAAAATGATTATGAGAACTGTGAGCAAAAGTTGCTAAACTGCACTGAGGGACCCGATGAATAACCTGCAGGGAGCTGGGACCAAAGTAACAACGGGAATGATTTTAGTGTTTTTTTTTTTTTATTATTATTTAGTTAGAGTTTTACATGATTAATGCATGCACTTTATATTAACTAAGTATATAAAGTGCACATTTAGATAAATATCAGTTGTTGTTAGACCAAGACTTTGTTTCCAGCTATTGATTTTCACTTCAAGGTGATAGTAGGGAACCCCTACATATTTCTCACTAGAGGTCATTAGGGTCTGATGTGGAATTTAAAAATGAAAGCCAAAATCTGTCAAATTAGCGATTTTTATGTATTTTTCTTTGAATATTGCCAAGAACCCCCCTGTTTCCTGTTACTATTTTCACCTTAGGGTTGCAGTGGGACACCCATAGGCCTATATGGTTCTCACCATATTGCATTAAGATCTGATGTGGAACTGTTGGATTAATTGTACAAGTTATTCTACTTTAATCATATTATACTTATACATTCATATTTACACATTTGCATATTCCTGTATACTTGTATTACACAAAGTGTTGAAATGTTTCACTTGCTGTCTTTCTAATGCTTGTTACTAGTGTGTGCAGGAAGCAAGGTCAGCCGGTTCAAGGAAAAGAACACGGAGAACTGCACGTACTAACACCAGAGAAAGGAGTGAAAGTTCTTATCTCATGATACTGTATGATGTTATGCAGACTTCTGGTACCGACTGGGTTTCACCCCCTCCCTTCTGGTTCCGACTGGCTTCACCCTTCCCCCTCCCCTTAGCAGTCCGAACCACATTGTAGCCAGGGCGTTTCCTTAATAAAAAGGCTTGTGAGAGCGGAGCTGTTTCAGAGTGGTTTGGAGAATTGTAACTGAACAGTCTCTGATCACTCTCCTTGCAAGTAAATCATACTAAAATTCTCTGTGTCTTCCTTTGTACAGGTTACTGCATAAAATGTTTGGTGTTTAAACCTAACATTAATTGGTCCTTCGAGCCGGATTGCAAGATACCCGACGACCCCCAGCAGGTATGTGAGACCCAGATAAGCCTGCGGCCGCAGCAAAGAGACCCTTTACGGGACTGGTCTCTCCCTTACAAGCTGGGGTCCGACGGTTGAAGCATTTCGAGGACGCAGAGAATTGTGAGTAGTTTTTCTTTTAATAAGGAGTGAGTGAATTATTGGAAGAAAAATATATAAAAATATAAAAAATTTATAAAAATATAATAATATAAAAAAAAAAAAAAAAGATAGAAGTGAAGGGCGTGGGGTCACGAGATTCCCCTTTTGTACAAAAACCCTGGAAAATTTCCTTTTAACCTTTTCAGGAAAAACCAAAATTTTAAAAAGGGTTAAAGTCCGCGGGGGGCGGGGCCTCCCCTATTTTTAAAGGGAAAGGCCCCCCGATTTTAAAACAAAGAAAATTCTCGTGGGATGGCGGGGGCCTCGTGTTTAAAAAAAGTAAAAGTTAACTGGGGAAAGGGGTTGGTGTGTGGGGAAGGTGTGTGTGTAAAAAAAAATATAATACACTAATTTCTGTTTTTCATCCCAAAAAAGAAAAGGGGTTAAATGGTACTTTTGGGTTTTTGTTTTAGAAAAGAAAACTCCCCCTTTAAAAGGGTTGAATGTTTTTACCACAAAAAAGATTGACACCACCCTTTCGAACCCCATGTTTAAACAGGGACGGGTTTTAAAAAAACCCACGGGCCAAAATTTATTTCAAAAGGGAAAAGGGAAAAAAGTAAAGAAAAACAGAAGTTTTTAGAGAAACCCCAAAGGGCAAAATTTGGGAAAGCAGTCGAAAATGTTTGACCCATTGCGTTAAAAAGCCTTTTGTGTCCCCCTGATAAAAACAAACTTTTAAAAAGGGAAAATTTGAGCACCAAAAATAACAAAAATTTTTGCAAAAAAAAAATAAAAAAAAAAAGGGGCAAAAAAAAAGACATTTTTGATGGCAAAAAAAGGGTTACTTTTAAAAACCATTTTTCTGGAAAAAAATTGGCAGACAAGAGAAGGGGGAAGACCCGCAGAGCTAAGGAAGGGGGGAAAGAGACAAGGAAAAAAAAAGAAGAAAAAAAAGGGAAAGTGAAGAAAAAAAAAAAAGGAAAAGGAAAGATCATTTATTTTCTTTAGAAAGAGGATGATAGTACCAGGGCCCAAATTCTAACCTGTTTAAAATCAAAAAACAAATTCCCCCCAAAGGGGGGTGCGGCCGCGGCACCCCGATCCCTCAGCTCCTCCCCCAAAAGGGGATCCTCCACGAAAATACTCCCCCACAAAAAAGTAGAAGCACCTTTGAAAATACCCTCCCACAACTATACCTCCCGGGGAAATATATTACTGGGATCCAAAGGTTCGTGGGGGGATTTTAAAAAACTTTACCCAACAACTTTTAAGGGAAAAATTCTGCCCTCCACGGACCCCCCCAAGTGATGCCTGGGGAACCGGGGGGTAAAGGGAGAAAGCCCCTTTCACGCTTCCTTAAAAAAATTTAAACCAAAAAACCCCTTGGGCAGCCGGGTTGGGGGGTTTGCCCAAAAAACCCCGCCACAGAATGGTAAACAAAACCCTGGACACAGGAAATGGAGTACGGGTAAAAAAGGAAAATTTCCCCTCTCCAAAAAAATTGGAAAAATGGGGTAAAAAAAAAGGGGTAAATCGTCACCACAAAATTTGATGGGGGCAACACTCCAAAAGATAAAAATTTCACCCCTCATGCAGAAAAAGTCATAAAAAAGTAAAAAAAATCACAATAAAAAATCCACTGTTTTTTTTCCGGGAAGGAAAGGACACGTGTTTTTATCAGCATCCAAGGGAGGGGCCGAGGCGAAGCCCCTGGGGGGAAAGGGGAAAGAGATTTTGGATCCCCGCTAAACTAAAAATTTCCAGAGCGTTTTTGGTCAGGTGGAAAAAAGGCCCTTTAGCTAACGGGGGTCAAAGAAAAACCAAAAAAGCAAACCCCCTCGGGCCAGTAGATGGGGAAACCCCTTTTTTCTATTAAAATTTGGGGTGAAAATAGGGTTTTGTCTTAAACCGAAATTTTTTTTAAAAAAAAGGTATAACCAAAATATTCTAAAGGTCCAGGCACCCTTTAAAAAAATTTGGTGATACAGGAGCCTCCGAACCCAATAAAAAACCCATCCCCTTTGGGCCACCTACCCATCGTAAAGAAAATTTTACCTGTAGGCCCATATTCACATTTTTACACAACACAAGCATTTAAACAGCAAGCCCCCAAAGAAGGGTGCCTCCCTTGTTCTGCTTCACCCCATCTTGAAAACCCTCCAAAGTTGAGAATCCCCGGGCCTTTTTTCCCTAGGGCCCAGCCCCCCTCCACAAAGGGTTCCCCGTTTCGGGGGCCCCGGGGGGGTTTTGGGTAAAAAAAGATTTTGGGGGGGGGCTTAATCTCCCCCCAGCCAGCCCCTAAAACCCAAAACCAAAATTGAGGGGTTTCCCTTTTTAATTATTTCCAAAAACCCTTTTGGGTCCTGGGCCAGCTGAAAAACCCCTTTTTTTTTCCCTGAAAAGATGCTAAAAGGAAAGGGGCGATTTGGGAAAATTTTGGGGGCCTGGGCAGGGAAAGGGCGGGGCCCCCCCCGGGGACAAAAAAAAAACCTATAAAACAGCCCCCATTCTACAATAGAGAAATGTTAATAGAATAAAAACATCCATTTTTGTTCAAAGGTTCGGGCCCCTTTTTTCTTGTTTTTTTTTCCTCTCTTTTTACCCACCCTTTTTTTTTGGCATTTTTACCCAAAGCATTTTTTCAAAAACAAAAAATTAATAATCACAAATAAAAAGTTTTTTTTTAATTATAAAAATTGAATACACCCCAACGGGTTTTCCTTTTGACAGGGGGGCTTTCAAAAAAAACTTTAAAAAACCCAAATTTCCCCAGGGGCCCCAAAGGCCCCAGACTTCATAGCCCCATTACTCAATCTTTTAAAAAGGGCTGTGCGGGAGACCCAGCTTGTTTTTAAAAAACCCTGAAGGATTTCCCTGCCGCTGTCTTTACAAAACCGTTTAACCCTTTTTCCATTTAACCTTTTAGGCGGGGATGCTCAAAGGTTTTTTGGTTTAGATAGATTTTGGCATCCCACATTACCATTAAAATCTGGACTTTTCCCAAAAAACCTCCTTTAAAAAACATCGGAGAACCCGCGGCTTAAAGGGGAAGACAGTCTTTTCAAATGTACAGCAGTCCATGGCCCCCGAAGCCCTCAAAAAATTTACCATGGGGCCCACAAAGACTCCCCCAAGTCCTTTTAAAGACTATAAAAAATTTAAATTTGGGATAAATAAAAATTAAAAAAAAAAAAAGGGGGCGCTGAAAATAAAAGGATGGGCCCCCAAAGGGCGTGGGGTTTGATTTGAACTTTGGTAGGCCCTTTATTGGTCTTTTTGGTCCTTTGGGAAACATCCCTTATGCATTTTTTCTTTTTATTTTGATATGGGGCATAAAATTCTGATGAAGGAATTCCTTGTTTAAAAAAAAAGGGGACTTTTTGTTTTTTTCAAAAAACATTTTAAAGCACTACACTTAACTAGATGTTTTTTTAAATCAATTTTGGGAGTATCACCGGACCTAAAATTTGTGGAAATTTAAAGGACTGTTTTCCACTTTGTAAATGTTTTTATTTGAACAACGAGACAGAGGGTAAATACAGTACTTTCTTCTGAAATATTAATTAAAAAAAAGGAAAATTGCAGAAAAAAACCCCCACTTTTATATTTTACCCTACTACCCTTCATTAAAATAATAAACTTCACTATGAAATTTAAACCCACCCGGGGCCTGAAAGGTTACTCTTTTGCCCATCTAAAGAAATTTATCTGGGGCTGAAAACTGAAATCAAAATTTCATTGTTTTTTCCCATATTCTAAAAAAAATTTAAAGGGTTTTCACCCTTTAAATGGAGTAAAGAACTCTAACAAAATATCCCATGTCAAATCGGGTTTTTTCCCCACGAGTAACCCATTTGGGAACATTTAATCATAAACCCAAAACCTTTAAAAAAATAAAATTTATAAACTTTTTGGCAAATACGATTATAAAATTTTTTTGTCTGACAATACTTTCTGCCCCGGAGCCTTCAGGAAAATTTTTTGGGCCCCCACCGGGTTTAAGGGCTTTGAAAATCTTCTTTACAAATTTTTTGGGCTAACCAATTTAACCCGAAAAAAAATTAACGAAAACTAAATCGTTTTACAAAAAAATTTTGTTTTTTCCCTGCCAAATTTTTCACCCCGAAACATTGAATAAACATAACATTTTTTTATTAAAAACATGTAAGGGTGGGGATGACATTCAACGAAAAAAATTTTTAAATCAGCCAAACACCCTAAAATCCATGAGGGCCCCTTATGAAAACCAAACTTTAAACCAACCCTTCCCAAAAAAAAAAATTTTTAAAAAAAAAATTTTTTGAATGAGCTTTTATTGAGTCAGTTTTTAAATTTTCCTTCCCCCAAAGGGGGGATTGTAGATTGTTGAGCATTGAGAAACATTATACACAAAATGGTTTTAATTTTTTATCAAAAAAATTTTTGAAAACATGTCTAATATGTGCTAAACAAATTTTCCCAAGGAAATTTAAGACCAAAAAAAGGTTTGCTTTCCCTAAACCTTTTTTTACCCCCTTTAAATTTCCCTGTTTTTTAAAAATTTTTTTTCCCAAAAGGGGATTGAAAAAAAAAGGGGGATATTTTAGATATCGTAAAATAAGTAAAATCATTTTCTTAATTTTTCTCGGGAACCCCTAAACCCCGTACTGTTTAGCACTTAAAATTTTCTACTGGGGACCTGTTATAGAAAAACACTTTGGGTCTCCTTAAACCCGACCTCCAAGAAGTCCATCGTAAAAAGGGGGGTTGTATTTTTTAGCAAACAACCATCTCAAACGGGTAAAAGGTTAAAAACCCCCAACTCTCCCAAAGGGGGGGGGTCATAAAAGAAACCCCATTGGAAAAAAATTTTATAAAAAGAACACTTTTAATTTGAACCTAGATTTTTTGCGTTTTTCCCATAATTTTTTTTTTTTAGCTCCCCGTCAAGCAAGGATTCTTTTTGGCCCTCAAATCCACTATTTTAAAAACGTCAATCTCGCTAAAACCTCTACAGAGTAACATTGGGTGACTTTTCCCTTTTTTTCCAAACCCATTCCGAAAAATTTTAAAACTTACCCCGAAATTTGGGGCCACATTATGTTTTTCTACCAATTTCCCCCGCGTAGTTCAAAGAACTCAAAAAGGTTGGGGGAACGTTTTTAGAACCACTGGACGGGGAAAAAAGGGGAAAACCATAGGGGAGGGAAAACCTTTATTTAAGAAATGGATATAGAAATCGGGGTTCACTTTTAAACCCAGTTTTCCAAATTTTTTAAAAAAAAAGGCAAAAAACTCCAAAACAAACCCTTGAAAGGGAAGGGCGTTTTTCCCCATTTCTATGTACAGGGTTCTAGGGAACCGCCCAAATTTGGCCTTTTGGTATTTGTGCCCCTTAAAAAATTAACAAAAAAAAGGAAAAAGGGGAAAAAAGGATTTTTACTTCTCCCCAAAGGGGTGAACAAAAAAAAATTTAAAAAATATTAATGGTCCGCTTAAAAAAAAAATTGTTTTCAAGTCATCACGGAACCCTTGGCAAACAAAAAGGGGCTTTTAATGGAAAGAAAAAAGCAGCAAAAAACATGCCTAATGATTTCTTTTTGGTGTAGGGACTAACCCTGTTACTGGGGTTTCCCTGCTACCTAACTCCTAAAATTTTTTTTAAAAAATATAAAAATTTAAAATAGGGTCCCATCTAAAATTTGGGCCCCAAAGGGGATAACATCTATCCCCTGACCACAGCTGAGAAAAAGAAACCAATCTTTTTGAAAAAAGTAGCTGTGGCAAATTTCACCTGTGTAAACAGGACCGGAGTGGGCCCGAAACTAGGCACACTAAATGAAACACAATGTGCAAGTATTTTACTGGTATCCACCTTTTTTTTAAAAAAACCTCAATTCCGCAGCGACATCTGGTGGTGGTGTGGAGATGACAAATTGTTTGACAAACTTCCATGTAACACCACTGGATTATGTGCTGCTGTCACTTTGATTTTACCTGTTTCTGTTACATCACTCACAACGGATGAATTGTTGACAAACTGCAAACAGCATTTTACCTCACACAGAGCATACTAGAAGGAGGAGGGCATCTGAAAATGCATGGAGTGGAGATGACCCTACTTATATTGATAGCATTGGTGTACCCAGAGGTGTTCCTGATGAGTATAAATTAGCCAATCAAGTTTCTGCAGGATTTGAATCTTTCTTATGCTGGTGGTGTACTCTAAATAAAAATTTAGACAGGATCAACTATTCAATTCAGTTTCAATTCAGTTTATTTATATAGCGCCAAATTCACAACACATGTCATCTTAAGGCACTTTACAGTTCAACCAGATACAGAATCAACTACATCCATTATAACGTCCAGAGGCTGGGAAATAAAACAGAACAAGGCTTCTCCGCCGTCCATGAACAATTGTCAGCTACCTCTCTGATGGCTTTCCAGAACCGTATTGCTGTTGACATGTTGTTAGCTGAAAAAGGTGGTGTGTGCTCTATTTTTGGAGATCAGTGTTGCACCTTTATTCCCAACAACACCGCTGCTGATGGCAGCCTCACAAAGGCCCTGGAAGGCCTTCGCTCTCTTAACAGCAAAATGAAAGACCATTCTGGAGTTGACACAAAAATGTGGGATGGATTTGGAGACATTTTTGGTAAATACAAACAATTGGTGCTTTCTATTTTAATGTCTATAGCTGTATTTGCCGCCATCTTGACCTTATGTGGATGTTGTTGCATTCCATGTATTAGAGCGCTGCTAAATAGACTAATTACCACAGCAATACAACCCATGAAAGCAGAAATGTATGCCCTCATACCCACTGAAAAATACCCATCTGATGATGAAGACAGCGCAGAGGATGAAATCTCTTTGCATTTTCCTGACTTTTATCCTAATTCCAATGACATTAACAGTAACCCACCAGTTTAAAATACCTCTGAGTGTACCCTTTACAGCTAAAACATGATTTCATAGTTGAAAATCTGAAAAGAAGTAACTATTGAATGATAAAATAAATAGCTTAAAGTGAATAAACAAGGGGGAAATGTTGGATTAATTGTACAAGTTATTCTACTTTAATCATATTATACTTATACATTCATATTTACACATTTGCATATTCCTGTATACTTGTATTACACAAAGTGTTGAAATGTTTCACTTGCTGTCTTTCTAATGCTTGTTACTAGTGTGTGCAGGAAGCAAGGTCAGCCGGTTCAAGGAAAAGAACACGGAGAACTGCACGTACTAACACCAGAGAAAGGAGTGAAAGTTCTTATCTCATGATACTGTATGATGTTATGCAGACTTCTGGTACCGACTGGGTTTCACCCCCTCCCTTCTGGTTCCGACTGGCTTCACCCTTCCCCCTCCCCTTAGCAGTCGGAACCACATTGTAGCCAGGGCGTTTCCTTAATAAAAAGGCTTGTGAGAGCGGAGCTGTTTCAGAGTGGTTTGGAGAATTGTAACTGAACAGTCTCTGATCACTCTCCTTGCAAGTAAATCATACTAAAATTCTCTGTGTCTTCCTTTGTACAGGTTACTGCATAAAATGTTTGGTGTTTAAACCTAACAGGAACATAAAGATTAAAGCCTCTCAAAATTATTATTATTATTATTATTATTATTATTATTATTATTATTATTATTTTGTATTTTAACAACGTTTTGAAAGATTAAAATAAAGCTGATATAAAGCGCACAAATGATCCACATAAAACGCTATCTGAACAAAAAAAAAAAATGTTTTTAATCATTCTCATATATTCACATCTACAGAAGAAATACTTTTTAGACCAGAGGTGTGTAAATACAAAAAAATCTAGTTAATAAACGTTAAACGTGTCGTTTTTATTTTGAAAAGTCCAAGCCTGCGTTGGTACCGTATTTAATAGTGTATTTGTGGCCGATAAAAAGCCGTCCCGGAAGCGCGATCCGTTGTGCGCATGCGCTATCAGCTCATTTTCAGTAAACCAGGAAGTACTTTTAGCGCAGCCTTCCTTTCACCTCCTGCCTCTTTAACGCGTTGTTAACTGGGCTACGAGTAATGGGTGTCTGACCTTAATGAATAAGAGAGCTCAGAAAATGTGGCTATTTTCATCTGAATAACTAGAAGAGACAGTGAGGTAAATATGCTTAAGGTGTCAGCATTTCACGCGCTTCGTAGCGTTTCCCTGGAAAGCATTGGGATGTCATTTGCCCTGTTGACAAACAATGTTTACTCCGTAAGCACCAAACGATGCAGACTCAGAGGTCTGCAGAGCCGCACCTTGGATGTCATAAGATTGTTCAGCTCCAACCAACATAACCCAAAGTTAAGTTAATAATTTTAACTTTAAATACACCACCATCAAGCTCTTGCAACAATATATTTACTTTTAGAGATTTTGATTATCTTACAGGTCCCAAAAGTGCCAACATGGGAATCAGTAGCAGAGGAGCAGCTTCCAACGGTAATAATGACTAATAAAGAACACAATGCAATCACAGCCCTGAAGTAAAATAAAATTCATAATGGGTGTTTATTTATTTATTTACAAATAAGAGTTTTATATAAGAGTTTTTATAGATTTTTTTTTATTCATTTTGCCATTCAAAGGCCCATTCATAACACTGTACAAGGCAAAGGTTAATTTATAGGGAATGAAATTAAAATTTCCTCTTTTATGTCGCAGATAACTAATATTGAAGTTATTTCCTTCTGTTTTGTGATACTTCATATAAAATTATATCTAACGTTATTAGTCTGTTTTTGTTTACATTTGAAATTGCCAATTAGACGTGATATAACTTGTTTTTCTTATGATTTTTGGGGGCCAAATTCTAAACACTTTTATATACCAGAGAAACACATCTCTCTGCAGAACAGCCAAAATGATTGAACCCTAAAGTTGGTTGATATTTGGGCACAAGTCTCATAATTTACAGAATAAATGTCTCATTTTGAGCGTTTTGGAGCATGGATTAACCAACCTATCCAAGTTTGGTCTAACTATGAATAAATTTCTCAGGCATCTTCCTTTATTTTTTGCAGCCCACGAAAATCCCTGTTGACCTAGTGGACAAGCTGGAGCGGCTGGCCTTGGTGGATTTTCGGACAAAACAGGGGCTGGAATGTTTGGAGAAAGCCATCCGTTTTGCAGATCAGCTCCATGTTATTGACACATCTGGGGTTGAACCGATGGATTCAGTTCTGGAGGACAGGTGCTGAGCAGATGCTTTGAATGTACATCTTGCCCCCAAAGAATAATCTCTAATGGACCTTATTAATGGATGTGTTTCATGCGCTCAGGGCTTTATATCTGAGGGACGACACAGTTACAGAGGGTGACTGTGCAGAGGAGCTGCTTAAGCTTGCAAAAAATACAGTTGAAGAATACTTTGTTGCACCACCAGGTATTTCTAGCACCTGAATTCTCTTAAGATTTTTTTTACAAAATCATATTTAAAACAGCAGAGTCATGATAATTTTTCTCTTTCTTTTCCCCAGGAAACATTCCTCTACCTAAGAGGGAGGAGAGAGCTGCCATCCTCAGACACTCCGAGTTCTGATGACTTAATTGTGAATGATTTATTATTTTAAAATAGAGAACAGTGTATGTCTGCCTCAGCCTACAGTTTGCAACCCATCTGGGTAGAAGCTGAGCTGGTTTATGACTGCCTTTACTGCAGTTTATAAGCAGCTGTAAACAATCTGGAAGAAACTGTCAAACATCTTGCTGGTTTCATCTATTTGTCTTCTATTAAAACTTCCTGTTGTTGAAAAACAAGTTTAGGTTTCAGTTTTAATTTCACAGATTAACATAAAACATTTTTATTAAAGTGCGTGTCAAAACTCTTTTTTTGAGGATTGTTTTAAACTGCTATAACTATAAATCTAAATATTGGTTTTACAATAAAGGAATATAAATGAAAAAAACAACAACAATCTCTTCACATTATTTCTGTGTGAGAAATCAAGATATAAATTGAGTTTTTTATAAGAGAACTCAAACACTTAATCATAAACATCAAATTAAACATGTAAAATTTGCTTTATGATTTTTTTGGAGTTCTTAAAAACATCTTGAAAATCTTCATCCTTATGAAGAATTTAAATCAAAGCCCAGAGAGTGTCTGATAGTGGACTGCAGCTGGGCTCATTGCTTCAAAAGCCATCACACACAAACCGATCAACAAAATTGTTTCATAGTAAACCAGTGACATCAAAAGGTCTGACCTGTGCTGTTGCTCAGTGATCTAAAGGGTGAAGATTTGGCAAGCAAATTACTTGATTAATTATCTTGTAAAGTATCGCTACTCCTTCAGTAAAATCTCTACTCTGCCCTCTGTGAGTAATTTGAACAATTCCAAGACACGTTAAACAGTAAACAGTAGATATTAACAGTGGAAGATGGCTACCCTTTCCTAGCATATATACAGTTCTCATTGTGAGGATTGTTTTTTTAAGTTTTATGTGGAAGAGTATTCGGTAAAAGCATTTCATCTGCACTAATTTATTATTTTATATTCATGACATTTATTTATATTCTTTAGGCATTTATAAATACCAGAACCTGCACGTCCAGTTTTGCCAGCACCATTAATAAATATGCACAATAACTTTACTTTTATTTAAGTAATTTCTTGGATGATTAGTTTTACTTAAGTAAAAAGATGGTAAAATAGTGCTATTCTTCCTCGAGTACAGTTTTTGGGTACTCTACCCACCTCTGCTTATAAATCATACAAAAGGGACTGTTAGACTTATTTTTTATTTGTTTTCTGTTTTGCTTCAAGTAAAGTCTGTGCTTGCATTAATTTCTGATGAATCATTATCATCTGATTGCTAAGCCACAGGTAAGAGGAAAACCCCAGGTGTCTCACATCACCTGTCTGCAGGTATTCACAGCACGTCATGAAACTATGTAAATAAAAGCCATACATTTTAAGAGAATGGAAATGGAAACTTAAAGAAGAAAAAGGGAGGGAGGATGAAGGACTGATCGGACAGTAGCTATATAAACAGCCTCGTTGGATCAGCTTCATTAATGATCTGTGAGCACTTAAAGGAGACTTTATTCATTTGAAATTCATGTCAAGGTAAGTTCATCTCCCTTTTGACATCTTTAATTCAATTCAATTCAGTTTATTTATATAGCGCCAAATTCACAACACATGTCATCTCAAGGCACTTTACAGTTCAACCAGATCAAATTGATACAAAGTTTTCTATCTAAGGAAAACCAGTTGATTGCATTGACTCATTGACTCAAATACAATCCCCCACACTAAGCATGCTTGTAGCGACAGTGGAGAGGAAAAACTCCCTTTTAACAGGAAGAAACCTCCAGCAGAACCAGGCTCAGTGTGAGCGGCCATCTGCCGAGGCCGACTGGGGTTCAAGGAGACAGAAGCAGAGATACAAAAAGCAGCTGTAAAAGGCGGCCCCGTCCAGGAAACACACAGCCAGGCAGACGAGCTCCAAGGCAGCTCCCATGCCAGAGGACGAAGAAAGCACATCCACTCAGTCACGGTCAGAGAAACAGGACCACACTGGAAAACAGGCCGATCTCCAACATCTATAAACAAGGGTGTTGATAGAAGCAGCACAGCTGATGTTTCTTTCCAGGATGACGTCACAGCCAAACAGGAACAGACGAGGCAAAGCTACTCTGAGGAAAAGCAGAGAGAGCAGAAGGTTAGAGATCTTTATCATCTTCCTTGTGAAAAATTACAGTTGACCTAAACTAAATACTTTCAAATCCATTTTTTTAGATAAGTTTCATCATGGAAATCTTCATCAATTTGATGGACGGGGAGTCCCAAATGCTGATAGTCAACCCCAGTGACACAGTGGGACATTTGAAAAAGTGCATCGAAAAGGAGATGGAGGTCCTCGTTTCGAAGCAAAAGCTGAAATTCACTAATGACGATCTGAACGATGACTCCAGGACTCTGAGCTCCTACAGCATGCAGCCGGGCTCCCAGGTGTACCTGTTGATCACGAAGCCGCCAACCCAGCCCTCTACCTTCCAGGTTCTTCTCCAAAATCAAAAAGGGAAGAGCAAACCATATGATGTCAAAAGGGACGAGACTGTGGAGAACTTCAAGAGGAGAGTGCAGGAAAGAGAAGGGGTTCCAGTAGACCAACAGAGGCTGATCCATGACAATCGAGAGATGCTAAGTGGAAAACTAACTGACTACAATGTGAGCAAGCTGAGCATCATCTTACTTCTGCGTCTGAGAGGAGGCTGAGGACACAACATAAAAAAAGTTCTACTTTTTTTGGTTGTTTTGTAATTATTATTATCCAAAATTATTCCTTATGTTGTTCCTTTTACATGTATTAATGAATAACAACACATGTAGCCTACTTTAAAGAGTGTAATGTGATTCATTAATTCTAATAATAAAAGCGGTCATGAGAAATGACATGTCTCTTTAATATTGTATTTCTATCTTCTGATCAGGTTACGCTCAGAAACAAAAAAGTTATTCTTTTCCAATGTAATATATGAAATTCTCTATTTTAAGGCCTGCCTGTAGATAATTGGAATAGAAATATTTTTAAAATACATATATAATTTCCTCTTTACACCATTATTTTTGTGTAAAACCAAGATTATAAATATAATTCTTATATAGAATCTATACTAAAGTAATTGACTGTTCACGGGGGCTTCAGTGTATATAAAAAGAAAGTCTAGCGAAAGGAAAAAGTGAAAGAAATAGGTGCACAATGTTTGCTTGTTTTAATGCCTCCTTTAGAATAATTTGAATCAAATGATCTCCTAGAATTAATCTACTATAGGCAGGTTGGTGCAAAGAAATCAACTAAGGAAGCAGTTGGAGGAAAATAGAACACATACCAGATTAGTGATAATCTGGATCTGGAGTCCCGAGCAATATTCTATCCCTTGGGGTTAAAATGATCATGAGCAAAAGTTGCTAAACTGCACAGATGTACCAGATGAATAAGCTGCAGAGAGCTGGGACCAGAGTAACAAAGGCTGCCATCAGTAACATACTACACTCAAATCCTGCAGTGCCAGGCATGTCCCCCTGCTTACATGTCCAGGCATGTCTGGAGTTTATCAGAGAGGATACAGTATAGTACAGTATACAGAGTACAGTATCCAGAAAAGGATTGGGAGAATATTATATAGTTAAATGAAACTAAAACCGAACTTTTTAGCACAAACTCAACGTATTGTATTGGAAGGAAATAAAATGTCGAGTTGCATCCCAAGAACATTGTACCTACTGTGAAGCATGGGGGTGGAAACATCATGCTTATGGGCTGTTTTTCTGCAAAGTGGATAGGATAAGCAGTCTGTTTTAAGTGAAGAATGAAAGTGACCGTGCATTGTGAGAATTTAAGATGGAACATGGCTGGGTCTTCCAGCATGATAATAACCCTAAACACACTCCTCAGGCAACAGAACAGAGGTTTCATAAAAAGTATTTTAAGGTCCTGTAGTGGCCTATATTCAGCCTCCAGACTTCAATCCATAGAAATTTTGTTGAGTAGATTGAAAGTCCAGGTTTCCCAGAGACAGCCCCAAAACATCACCCCTCTAGTGGAGAATGGCATAGAGGATGGACCAAAACACCAGCTTCAGTGTAAATAAACCTGGAGAAGCCTAACAAGAAATATCTGACGTCTGCCATTGCGATCAAAGGTTATGCTACAAAATATTGAATAGAACATTACTTCTTAACCAATTGCTTACTTTCAACATAATTTACAAATTATTTATTTAAAATCCCACGATTTTATTTCCTGGATTTTTTTCCCCATTGGTCCCTAAAAGTGCAAATATAAACATATGAAAATGTCTGACCTGTATTATCTTTCTAAGTAGGAAAACTTAAACAATCAGTAGCTGAATGCATATTTTTCAAAATCTGTTTTGCATAAACTGAATAAATAGCATCCTCATTTGCAAACTGCATTTTGTTTTCTCTGTTTATGGTTGTCTGTTAATATTTGTTTAGTCATCTGAAAGGTACAAGTGGGTCAGTAAAAACAAAAATGAGGAACTAAAGGAATGCAAATATATATTTTTGTTTACTGTGTCTATATTCCTAATATGAATAATGTTTTTGAGAACAGAGTAATTCAAGTTTATGAGGAAATAGTTGTTTAGCTCCTGTCTCCTATTGCGCGCAACGTTTTCGTTTTCTGTTTTGCTTCAAACGAAATATGACCTCACATCCTTATCTGATAAATAAAAACCATGTGATTTGTTATGGAGCTGGTTTTGTTTTCCTCCTCCCATCGAGGTAAACCCCAGTGAGCTGATGCACATTCTTTGCAGGCTTCTGTGGCACTTCAGGACAGGCATTTCTGCAGACTCATGTTTGGAGACTGAAAACCGAAACTTAATGAGACAGAGCGGGGAAAACGAACCTTAAGTGAGGTGGGAGGGCACTGATGGGCTGGGCTCCTTTGTATATAAACACAGCTGTTCAAGCCTGAGGACAGATCAGCTGGATCAAAGCTTATTGCATGTTTGAAGGAGAATTAATTCATTACTGGATAATTGAAAGGTAAGTTTGGCTACATTTGAACCTGTTTATTACATTCCTTAAGAAAAATTACTTTAATAAATACTTTTAATATTCATTTTTAGATCAGTTTCATCATGGATATTGTCATCGTTATGCTGAACGGGACATCCCGCACGCTGAGAGTCAACCCAAATGACACAGTGGGTGATTTGAAGGAGCGCATCCAAAATGAGATGGGATGCCTCGTTTCGACGCAAAAGCTTGTCTTCACTAACGGCCAGAGCACCAATCTGAACGACGACTCCAGGACTCTGAGGTCCTACAACATGCAGTCGGGCTCCCAGGTGTCCCTGTTGATCACCCAGCCATCTACCTTCCAGGTTTTCCTCCAAAATGAAAAGGGGAAAACCAGCACCTATGATATCACAGGGGATGAGACTGTGGAGAACTTCAAGAGGAGAGTGCAGGAAAGGGAAGGGGTTCCTGCAAACCAGCAGAGGCTGATCCATGAAGGTCGAGAGATGCAGGGTGGAAAACTGACTGACTACAACGTCAGGGAGCTGAGCACCATCTTCATGACTCTGCGCCTGAGAGGAGGCTGAGGACACAACATGAAAACTTTCTAGTTTTTTGTTTTATTTTCATGTATCATGAAGAAAAATCATTCCATAAACATTTTGTCATCACACACACACACACACACACACACACACACACACACACACACACACACACACACACACACACACACACACACACACACACACACACACTAAGGATAAAGATGTATTTTATATTATTGTTTTAATGTATGAATTATTACTTATAATAATAAAAGTCACTCTTGACAAATGGCATGTCTCATTAGTATTTTATTCATTTGTTCAGATCAGCAGGTTATAAAAAAACAAAAAAAACTAATTTGTTTTTTGTAAAAATTACATTTTTTCAACACAGTCCTCTTTGAGTAAAGCATGAAAAATCCTTTTAAATTGTACAATTTTAAAGCGATATAAATTAAACCATCAAACAAGAGATTTTATGTATAAACAAAGTCAGCCATCTTAGGAAATAGGTCGAATCTTCTCAGTCGAAGCTTTGTCCAAACGAGCCCTCATTTCCTCACAGTGGCAAGGTAGGCATACCAGAATAAGGCAATCATGTTGGCGAACAGCACTCGAAACTGAAACAAACACACAGAGGGAGACGTGAAAAAACAAAGGAAGTTAGTGTGAGACCCATCCTGTCTCTAAGAGACAGGAAGCCAATGATAGAACGTACTTGAACAGGCACAAAGTTGATATTTATGAATGTGAAGGGGGTCCAAACTTTCCAGTTCATCTTCAGAGCTGTCCAGTAACTCCTCCTCATTTTCATCTCAAAATCTTCCCAACCTTTAGCCTATAAAAAATGTGTGAAAATGATTAACTGTAAAATAGTACTTAGTTGCTTAATGCTTAGTTATATTATAAACAATAGACACTGATTTTCTAATTGTACTTATCAAAATAAGACTGGTGGTATTTAAAATTGATATTCATAGCATCATCCAAATGTTGAATTGAGTATATATCAAATTTGTAGCATAATTTTGCCCAGATATGAAATAAACTAATTATTTAGATGGTACTAATTTATGGATTGTTCCTGTATGATAAAACTTTGACAAACAGAACATTTCATATTTAGAGATTTAAAAACTCGTCAATGTAAATATTCTCAAGCATTGATTTTTCCCTTGGATTTTAAGATGGGGAGAGGATGAGGCCTTCTGACAACTTTTTCATTTCCATTACCTATTATTGAAGCTTCAGGTACTGACTGATACCAACGTTAATCATTCACTTTTAGTAGAAAATGCTTAATCAAGTGACATTACTCAAAACAAACAACAATAACAGCTATGAGAACAACTGATCCATTTATTATTAACCAATGGTTAACATTAACTTTAAATAGAGATGAAGTGTTTCTATCAGTTTGCTAAAATCTAAGATTTTAGATGCAGGTTGATGATCAATACATGGTCAAATATTGAACTCTCTACTCTGCTACATTTCTAGGAAGCTGCAAGTTACTTGTTCCTTTTGGCTCAGCTTAGATTTATAATCCTCTGTTGCATTTGCATCATATTCCACAAATGTGATAAGCTCAGAGCGGATATTATTTGCAGTGTATACCTTTTATTAAGGCATTAGTTATTGCTATGTGGCCAAGTTGTTGAGCAGGATGAGTTCTCAATGCAGAGTTGCAGTTTCTTTGTGGTAATAGATTCAACCTTAAACCTCTCTTCCACAGCGAAAGTCTTTTTTTGGTTTGTTTTTTAATAAGAAATAATAATCAAAACAATTGTCCTTATCAGAAATGTACTGATATTAGAAAATTTGCATTTTTGGATTCTTAAGTACTTTTAAATGCATGTACTTTTGAATACCTAAGTATTTTTTAAAAGTGAGCACTTCAATACTTTGAGTAGATGTTTGAATGAATAAGATTTGATTATGAGTATCAATACTTTTACTCAAGTCCTGCTGTTGAGTACTACGTCCTCCACTGCTAATATGTAGCAGCCAAGATAACCCGATCAGTTCTACACAGAACATACAGTAATTATATAGTATTGAAATCAGTATATCTGTAGTTTATGTGCGTTTTGTGTTGAAAATGGCACCTCCAGAATGTTCATCACAAGGTAGAAAATGAACAGGAAGCCTGGTGCAAAGATGAGTCGGTCCAGTAAGAGTCTTTTGACTATACAGTATGGGTCTGTGGTTGGCATCCACACCTCCATCAGCTGGTAAAAGAAATGGCTCACTGGACCAGTGATAATCAATCTAAAAGAGGCAGAAAAGGAGGAAAACAATAACACAAAAATAAATCTCTTGATTTTTCCACCAGTTAACTTTTTTCTCTATACAGCACATCACAGAAAGCAATTATCGATGTCAAACTTTAAAGCGATTTGTAGGATTACAATCACACATTTTAATACATTTCATTGAGATTGTATGTGATAGGTCAGCAAAAAGTAGGTAGCACAACAAGAATGAAAGTAATATACAACAAATATATTACAAAAAAATAAAAATCTAGCCCCTGGACTATGCTACTCATGTATAAATTGCAATTCAGCTATTTAAATTCCGTAGGTACTGTATCTAGCTGGTAAACAGTGTCCGAGTTTAATCCAATCATAAAGTTTGTCTGTGAAAGGCTGCAGCTTTTATTACAGAACATCAATGGATAGTAGCATCATGAGGAAAAAAGGGCAAAAGATGTGAAAGTTTGAAGCAAGGTTAGCTTATAAAACAATCCACCAGATTGTAAACATCTCACAGAGCACTGTTCAGTTGATCATGGAAAACCAGAATGGCCCAATTCAACCACAACATGGTTTCCTGCCTAAATTAACAGGCCAGACAAGAAGGGTATGAATGAGAGAAGCAGCCAACAGGCACATAGTAACTCTACAGTACCTACAGAGAATGTATTACTGTATTAGCAATAAATGACTGAAAATTAGTCTTTATAGAAGAGTGGCATGAGGTATGAAAAAAAGAAAGCTGTAAGTCCTTTTCAAAGTTTGCTTAGCAAACACACACTGTAGATGAATGTGCTGTCGTCAGATGAGAACAAAACTAAAATTTTTGCTGTCCGTGCAGAATGCTATGTACGGTGGGGAGCTAATCCTGCATAAGTACACCATCTCCATTAAGAAACAAAGCAGTGGCAGCATGATGCTGTCGGTACACTTTTCTTCAGTGAGGACAGGGAAGCTATTCGGAGTCAGTGAGAAGATGAATATAGAGTTATGAAGAGGAATACTGGCATGGTTTGCATTACAACATTGTGAATTACACCATGCAGCATTGCATCTAGTTTGTGTTGGTAAATCCTACATAATCCTAAAAAATAAATTTTGGCTATAACATGTCTTTTTTTTTTTTTTTTTTAAGGTATAGCAGTGGATCGCTCTGTGCTCTAATCATTGACATCTCTTAATCTTAAAGCAGAGTTTAACCCCATGTTAGGATAATTATCACTGAAGATGTGCGAGTTTATAACACCTTGGTATTGGCTGCCTGTTGCGCATCAGAACTGATGTTTTAATCTAATTAAGACAGTTCCTCTCCCTGGATATACAGTTATAATCTTCATTCTGTACGTGGCAAAGATTTGGAAATGGAATGAGAGCAGTGTCCTTCAGCTAAGAACGAAGTGTAATATTTTGACAAGGCTGCAGCCATGGATGTCTAATCACCTGCTAATGTGTATGATGTAAATATGATGATGTGGCAGACTGGAGATTTATAAAATTACTTTTTAACTGTTAATCGGGGCCACTTCCTGAGAGGTGAGCCCAGAGGTGAGCAGCTGCCTTCTGTAAACTAAGCAATTTCTCTGATCTGAGTAAGATTACAATTTCTATCAGAATCCGTTGTCATGTCTCCTGGTTATTTAATACATATAAGTTATGACGTTTATTTAAAGAGTTTGTCCTGAGTGATCTCTTTTCATGGAAAAGAACCATAAAGACAGAGCATCAGGGTGCATACATAGAGCCTATATTTAACACCCAATAATTTGGCTTTTTTTATTTTAAGTCTCACCCAAAAATGGCATATCGTGTGGCTCCACCCACATCGATCTCATTGACTGGGCCTCCTCCACCTTTGGCCTTTTTTCTGGTTTCCAAATACTGTGAAAGCAGATTACCCAAAGCTGACAGGATCCCACTGGAAGTAAGAAAAGGCATACACATTAGACACTGCTGTAAATATGCAACCAAATACTTTTAAGGGAACAAAGTAAACCATAAATAAATCAGTTGGACTTCTGAGAGGGAGGTTTTCACGGCAGATGCTGATTGGCTGATAGCAGAAAACAGGTTGACAGTGATCAGTGCAAACAAGCAAACACAGATAAAATGCTTGGGAATACATTTTATAAAGCCACATAAAAAAGCAACAACATACTCTGATTAGAATATACTATTAAGTGGACGTTTAAACAGCTGGAAATAAAGACAACTGTCAGTTTAGGAGAAGAGAAACTGACCTGGTTACAGATTTAGTGAGGATCGGGTATTTTTTCAGGAGGATCAAATACTGCTGGAGCAGACGGAAATGAAAGGACCCATCTCGGACTGGCAGGCTCTGTACAGGCATTGTCATTCCTTAAAGTAATTGTGCATAACCACAGCAGCAGTCGCCCAAAAAGGGCAGCGACGTCTAGAAAGTTGTTCCTGTCTACGTCGTTACGTCAGCGCATAAACCACGCCCTGACGTTGAGGTAAAATCGGAAGTTAAAACGTTTAACAGTACAATTTCTTTAAGAAATCTTTTATATACCTATTTGTTTGGGTTTTACCCGTTTTTTTTCTTGTGTTTGTTTTTATGTAATGATGGGTTAATTAGCCGTCTTCGATACATTGCCAAACTGTATTGATGCTATCTTGACAATCTCACAGAATACTGACACCTGCTGGACCTTTAAAGACACTACAGGCAAATTATTTGATGACCTAGTAGTACAATGATATAATTTAAGTTATTGTAGATTATATTGTATTATTTCATGTCTATGTTAAAATTGACAATATCTTTAAATTTTTTAGATGCAGCCAATAAGTAATATAAACATATAACGTGAACATTTAGGGGAAAAAACGAGGATGCTTTCTGGACTAGGATTTTAAACATTTTAAAACAATAAGTACATTAAAAACCAGTAAATAAACTAAGAGTCAATTTGAAATTAACTTTAATTCAGATAATTTGGGCTTAACTGCGAAGAACAGTATGAAGTATGTAAAAGTTGAAGTACCGACTTAACCTCTTTACTTAAGTAAAAGTGGAAAAGTATGTGCTCCAAAAACTACTTAAAAGTATAAAGTAACCTTAAAAAAAACAGCCAGATGCCACTATATGAATTGAAAGCTAAATTTTTTTTTGACTATTTCGAAAAATTCTTTGAGATAGTGCCAAGGATGAGGGAGGTCTTGTTGATCTCCGTCTCCATCTCCTGATACGCTCTCGCCTGTGTCCGACCTTTTAGACATTTCAACATGTTTTCTGAATGCGACATTGTAGCATGACATAGACAATTCACGTGTGCAGTTTCAAGAACACTTGCTTGCTTCTGATGATTTCCTTTAGCTAACCAATGAGTGGTCGTGTTATATGACTCATCCAATTACACTAGTTTTCACTAGATGTGGATGGCGCCAATGATCTGCATTGGATGGAGCACATAATGTGAAATAAATATTGATGAACATTAAACCGAAGCCAAGAGTAACGAGTAATGTTTGTTTTAAAAATGTAAGGAATAGAAAGTACAGATACTTGTGTGAAAATGTAATTAGTAGAAGTAGTAAGAAAAATAATTAACTAAGTAAAAAGTGTACTTAAGTACAGTAACGAAGTATTTGTACTTCCTTACTTGACACCTCTGACAATGAGAAAATTTAGGCAGCTCCAAAATTCTTGATAATTTTAATGATAAACCGCCTGAGACCTTTTTTTTTTTAAAAGCAGATGCATCATTTTGTCATACGTTTTTAAACACAGTTTAGTGTGAAAAAACAAGTCCTGTTTCTGTCTCATGAATTTCTTGAAACGACCCGCACACTGATACGGTGTTTTGCTCTATAGGCTCGACGCATACACCAATGCGTCGGTGTTGCTGGACCCATCACTATTTTTATGTATTTCTTATGAAGCAACTTATACATTCTAAACAAAACTATTTCTTTCAGGTATTTTTTTAAATTATTTTCCCCTAAAAAATTTTAGTAAATATCTACTACTACAAAGATTTATGATCATAAATTAGAAATACATCCAGAAAGAAATAGAAAAACCTGTTTAATATATCAAGCATTACATAGAAACTTTAATCTACAAACTTAAAGAGCAGGAAGAAGAAAATTATTTACAAAAATGAAACAAATCAATGCAGATGAGCTAAACAAACATGAGGCTATGAAAACAGAACAATCTGCAGACATGGTCTGCTTCATAAAAACATGAACATAACATACTTGTGCTGAAAGAGCAACCAAAAGCTTATAGGTGTTTCTGGTCTGTAGTTAATCAACACGTGCTTTAGAAAAGCTGACAAAGAAGTCAGAGAGCCTTCCAGTCAATGGGAGACTTTCCTTGTTTTTCTAGCAAGTCATTTGCCTTTGAGAAATGCTTGCATCCAAAAAATCCTCGATGAGCAGACAGAGGAGAAGGATGCACAGCCTGAAGGACGTGGTGGCGCTTCTATAAATGAAATAAGCAAATCTTCCTCAAATACTTAGCCCAGGTAAACTTGTTTGAAATGATTATAATGCATACATTAGCATACTCACTCTGTTAATGGAAGCCCCTTTTTTTTGCGCATACGATCCCCACAGCATGAAGACGACACCCTCCAGGTTGCTGCTGAGCCACTGCACCACAGCGTCAGTGAAGTTCTCCCAGCCTTTATCTTTGTGGGAGTTGGCTTGGTGCGCTTTGACGGTCAGCACAGCGTTGAGCAAAAGCACACCTGGTGGGAAAGTCAAAGTTCTAAAATAAAGAATCCTACGTTGCAGTTGAATCATTTAACAGATTACATATTTATAAAAGTACCCTGTTTAGCCCATCCTGTGAGGTCTCCATGACCTGGGTGCTGAAAGCCTTCGATGTCTGAAGCCAACTCTTTGTACATGTTTTCCAAACTGCAAACAAAAAGCATTAAAAAAATTAACATTAAAAATAGGATTGAAACGGCATCGACTCCATTGAAAATCTGACTCCAGGGCTGTCCTCCAAAGTTAGATTAACTCTTCCGTCAGCCATGCTAAGGCAAAACTTAGCTTTCAGTATCTATTTGAATCTTAAAATTGGCAGCATATGAGAATCTTTTCAACATGGATGGGCAGGACAGGTTATGTTTGAGATTTCTACAAGGAAGAAAGTCATCTTATAACCTGTTGACTGATCTTATCGACCTACGAGTGATTGACAAGCAACTTTTTTTCCCCACATATCACATTATGGTCTAAATAAATTATTTTTTTAAATCATATTTCAACAATTTCTTGTGACAGCTGTAATTGATATTGCCAGGGGGAAAGAGAAAAAAAAATCAGGAACCTATTAGGTTACTGAATACAGAAAAGTAACAGTCTCCTCTGAGCTAACCTGGTCTGGAGCTGTTGTTTAATAACCTCAGAGAGTCCTCTGTCTCCGCTCTACTTAGAGCCAATCATGTTGTTTATTTCCTATTTTAGTCAGGAGATTTTTGTTGTAGTTTTATGCACACAATAAAAAGTCATTCACTAGGTTCATTAGACACATTAATTTTTAAAAACAAACATTGCAGGTTCTTTTGACAGTGTAAAGAAAAGCTCTGTGTTTTCACCTTTAAGCTCCCCCCCCCGATTCTTTCCTTAGTAGAGATCACTTGGGAAACATTCTTTAAAAAAACAGTTCATAATGTATACGTATAACATGACAACAGATTTTGAATCTTATTCAGACCAGAGAACTTGCTTAGGGTTACAGAAGGAAGCACCAACCAGGCTCGTTTCTCATTGAAGTTGACTCCGAATCACAGTTAATGAAGCATTTTACACCACTGCAGTATGCCGCATCATCACATCATTATATGATACACGTTTGTAAATGAGGAGAGATCCACGGCTCCAGCCTTATCAAAAAATTACACTATGTTCTTAGATCAAGGACACCGCTCTCATTCCATTCCCAAATCTTTGCCCGGTGCATAGATGCAAGATGACTTTTTATCCTGACAGAGGAACTGTCCTAATCAGATAGAAAGCAATATGCAGATGATATTAGGGTTTAACAGACTCAAACATCATGAATAAAAACAATCCTAACAACAAGGATCCTATTAAAGAATAGAATTAAATATTTATATGGAGAGGATTCTATCTCCCAGTTGACAGGATGAGATTAATTTGTTTTTTGTTTAATTAATATGATCAACATGCAATTTTTTTTTATTACAGAACATGAAGAACTTGAAATTATTTTCAGATAACACATAAATAGATTAATTAATTCCACGGGGAAACAAGGAATTACCTTAGGGTTAATATTAGGATTAATTTAGTGATAACAACCTAATCAGCCTACTGGACAATCCAAAGCCATTCTATGGGACTGATTACCACTAATAACTAGGGGTGGAACGGTTCACAAAATCCACGGTTCGGTTCGGTTCACTGTTTTGTGGTCACGGTTTTCGGTTCGGTATATGTTTATTGTTACACCGAAAAAAAAATAATAATAAAAATTAATGAATTTTTTTTTATGACAATAATGAAAAAATAAAAAAAAATGAATGAATTGTAATTATTTTTAATGATTCGCTGAAACCATGGATCATTTCCGCATGTTTTGCTGCTTTGAATTTAATCATCTCGTGCATGCCCTCTACGATCTCCAAGGAACTCAGAGCGGACGGGAAACACAGAAGAGGCTGTATGCTTTGCTTTGTGCAGGCGGTCTGGAGCGGGGCGGAGCGGAGCACTGATGGAGTATGTGGGATTTCGGGGTTAGCATGACATGTTGCTGTTAGCATAAACAAAACGTGTTGCACAATGCTTGCACACTGTTGCACTTTTATCCACAACTTTCTTTCCGCCGTCATCGTAGGTCAGTCTAAATGCAAAGCGGTACCATACAGCAGACCTATAAAGTGCTGCTGGCGCGTCTTCCAACTCCTGTTCTTTCCCACTCGCCATACCCACACAATTCTCCACAACAACTGATTTTTTTCCCTGCTACACGCGGCTAAGCTGCTTCGCTTCTTCTTCTTCTTGTTTACTACTGGTGGTTGGCTTTGGTCGCAGTACCGCCACCTTCTGCTCTGGAGTGTAAACGCTTCGCCTATGAGAAAAAGGAGCAGCGCATGAACCAAACACAACACACGCGAACCGAACCGAGACAGTCGAACCGAACGGTTCGGACGGTTTTCATAAACCGTTCCATCCCTACTAATAACAGCCATTTAATGGGATAACATCTGAAGCGACTGCAAACAGCCACTCAGTATTCACTGTTTAATGGACGACAGAACCAACATAAGGAGGAACCCCATGAGAGGATGCTCAGGTCTCACCTGTCTGATCGTTTTAGAAATTATCTTCACCTGCTGCCAGTTGATTTCACTCAAATAAATATATGGATGCTCTGCCATTCAAGCACTAAACTAGTTTTCTCTGTAATGTTATCGTGGTAAAAACAAGTTATGGAAAGCTGTTTTGATATGTGTTGGTTTGAAAAATGGCACTCTGGGTGTCTATAAATGAATTTAATATCTCCATATTACTATTGCTACTGGTCAGCATTTGTATTATTTTGACTATGAAGAAATGCATTTCAGATAAATACATATTCAGTCAAGCTGATAAATGTCAAAACTGCCACTTAAAATGTGTAAACATTTCTAGATACATAAAACTTAAGTCTTACAAGTACAATTTAGTTTAATTTACTTTCTGAAATTCAGTTTCTGCTGCAAAAATGTAATTTAGAACCTCTTTTATCATAGTTCCGAATAGGAATGTGATTTTGATCAGGAAGATTTCTATTTTAGGGATCTACAAATGGATCAAGAGAGAGGAGAGTGCTTTTAATAAATGTCAAAATGGATTGCTAAAGGTACTGCATAGAAAAGTATGCATTAACTCTAGCAGTAATATTCTCTTTTGAAGTTTTCCTCTACTTTGCAGCAGTTTTTCTCTGTTTTAAACACCCTCTGCATTTTTTTTTTTTATTCTGCATTAAAATCTGTAGTTCCAGGGGTGTGAAATTGACACTTCCTGCTGCCATGGTGACTCGTCTGATTGGGAATCCACTGATAATGGTTTTCATACTTGTTGCGCACGTGGTTAACACTGAGTGTATTTACCTAGAGTTGATTGAACAATGTCTCAGAATGGGAACTAATAAGGTGATGACTTAAGAAGCTTGTTAAATGGTTGAGATTTACAAAGAGAGGCACATTGAGTGCATTCTGCATCACTGTCAATATTAAACAATGTAAAATAAATTCAATACCAGACTTTGCTAGGATTATTCTACAGTTCTGTTCAGGCATGCCTTCAGCATGATCGTTTTTCTTACAACCAAGATGGTCTGGCTCTGCTTAAGGATGATCAGTTCTTCCCTCTTCTGGGTGGAAAACACATTACAACACTGAAAGAAGTTTGGTCTAAGCAAGATATATAGACTATTGAGCTGGATCTTTGTTTAATAATATCATACACAGCAATAAAGCAATCCAGTCACATCAAATCTTTGTTTACAATGCTGGTTACCTCATCACAGAGCAAACAGTGCATTTATATCCATGTTTTTTTTTTTTTTTTTTAACAATGTTTATGTCAAGCCTGTCCTACAGGTATGAAATGTTTACCTGCTTTGACATACATTCATGGGTAATAATGTTAATCGGAAATCATCTGTGCTGAAGTCATAAAAACATCTAAAACCAGCAGGACAGTGGCCCTCATGGACTGACTTTTGGACAACCTTGTCTATTATGAGGTAATCAGGTGGGATTGATTTTAATCTAAGCCAATATTTGATAAACAATTGTTCACAAACAATTAAGTTCACTAACAAACCAAATTTAGAATAAATTATGGGATTTAAATTGGACCAGAGGTTGATGATGAAGTTTTATGCAACCATAGAGATGCTAGTTTGACCCCCAAATCCATCTCTCTCAGGCTTTTGTCCCTGGGGAAGACTTTTCACCTGCATTGCCTACAGATGGTGGCCAGAGGTTCGGATGGTGCCTGTGTACAGCCTCCTTACTTCTGGGGCCCCAGGCAGTTGTGGCTTGTCACTTTCAGTGTGTGTGATTGACTGAATGTAAAGTGATTTGAGTTTTTTTTTTAGGAGTTTCTGCTCCTTCAAAAAAACAAAAACAAAAAAAAAAAAAAACAAAGAAAAAAAAAATAGACTTTGTACCTAGGAGGAGGGGGAACCGGTCTTTTCACACTGAAGCACAGACCGTGAGCTTGACCAGGACCATGATACGGATCTTGACCCAGAATGACAACTTTAACCTAAAATCAAAGACATGAGGGTCAAGTTCATTGCATTCATAACAATTAGTACAATTAAATAATTAATTATTTCTATACAGTTAAGCACTTATTATGCAAAACCCAAGTAGACACTGATTTAAAACAAGATTTAATTTGACCAACATACTTCCAAGAGCTGAGGTTCATCAGCAAAGAAAAACCTTTAAAATACAGTGGAATTATGCAGAAGCTTTGTCATCAGTTATCAGAGGGCCAACATAAACTATTGGCAATTCCATTCTGACATCACATTTCTAATATAGGCATGACAAGCAGATTTTTCTACCCAAAATTAGTGTTTATCTAAATCTTTCGACAGATACCCATGTCATTTCCTATGGGCAAAAATAATAGACTTAAGGCTTAGACAAGACTTTGTCATTTTGTACACACGGTGTATACAAAAACAAATTTTGTTTAGTAGAGCTGAAGATATATTTTCATTTTTTAAAGTGCAGCAGTGATAAAAGGTAAGCAGCAGTAAAAGCATGTCTGTACAAAAGGTGTGTGTTTCTTCTTATTGAAAAGGCCAAAAAGTGTAAATATGATTTTTGTCATGTTCCCTTTTAAACTCTTTCATTATCCTCTAAGACTAGTGTCTTCAATGTTATCCAGGCTAAGGATCCCCAAACTGATGGCGAGATGGAGCTGGGACCCCCTAATTATATAGATTGTATGAAATTGTGTTATATCAGACTGGTCCTATAGTCACTCTATTACAGATTGAGTCATGTAACCAAAGTAATTTCTCCCTGGGATTACTAAAGTATTTCTGATTCTGATTCCTGGTTGATGGGACAGGTGTTATGAATGAAATGGTGCCCAGTTTGAAAGAGCTTCTGTGTGTCTCCGAATGTGTGCATTGACGACTGAAAGACATCTTCTGCCTCCATTTATCTGTTTACTACAGTGTTTTGAATTCATGTTAATGTGAATTTAAAGACATTTCCATTGAAATGTCTTTAAGGGGAAAAATTGCATGGAATAATAAAAAAAATAAAACTAAAAAAAGTCTAATGAACCAAAACTTTCGCTACCCCCATCCAGTACCTCCGTGGGTCCCCTAGGAGTCGCGGACCCCCTGTTGAAGACCTCCGATCTAGAGATCTATTTAGAAATCTTGGTCCCATGGCTGTATAGAACAAACTTGATCTACCTCAAGCATGACTAAGTTGGAGTTTAACTTAAAGTAATTCTACAAATACATTTAGAATGTCTAAATCAACATTTTTGTTCCGCATTTAAATGACTTTACTATTGCTTGACATTATTTAATGTGCATGCAAAGCGTGAAGTAAAAGGAGCATGAGCTTCACTCACATCTCTAATGCTGCACATCTCGGTCCAGGTAAACACTTGATCAGCAGGTGGGTAAACTGTGCAGCGTTTCCTCTCTTCAGACACAAAATCCATCAGCTGTGGTAAAAAAAATTAAAAAACATTAAAACCCCAATGATAAACAGAAGCCGTGTGAAGAATCACATCCCCTCACCTTTTTAAAGTAAGGCTTTACAAACTCAGCTTGTAGCTCCTTCCTCCAGCTCTCCCCGAACCCTGGAGGCGTGTGAGCGGTAGCCAGCCTCTCCAGCGCCGCTCTCTTGTTGCGGGCGATCCTATCCAGCTGCTCCGGGGACAGAGGACACGGAGGCTGGCTCTCTGGCTCTGCTTCCACCGCAGCGCATTTTCGCTTCTTCCGGAGGATTTTGGTATATTGAGAAAAACACAGAGCCGGTGAGAATATTTTCTCTCGAAGAGAAGACGTTTGAAGCCGTGTTAGCACTCTCATTTCAAGCGAGCTGACGCGTTTGGCAACGTTCGACAACACAGCGGTGTTGAACGCCGCTCGGAGGGTTCTGCGCTTCTCGCGGGAAATATAAACAACAATGTAAAATACTAAATTAAAAGCAATGCGTGTTTTAATGGCAATGCGCATGATATAATGTTACCCGCCAATGTTAACTCAATAAATTTTAATGGAAGTAGTGATGCTCACCGGTTCTCTAGCGTCCTTCTCGGTTTCATTTACCTCCTTAGAAACCCTCTTTTTCGACACCGGCGAGAAAAACGAGTTGATAGTCTTCTGTCCAATCATTTTTGTTGCAAACACTTTGGCGGTTAGCTGCAGGAAACCTTAAGATATTAGTCTATCTAAAGAGCATAAAGCCACGAGTTAAACTTGCAGCACCAGAGCGATAGTTTGTAAGAATTCGCGCCTAAAACGTGACGAAAGGAGATTACTATAATGAGCTTGAGTAGTGTTCAAGACACAGAGCCAGTGTTTGCTAATATTACACAACCTTCGTAAGACTGTTTCGGTAACGACTGCATTTTTTTGTACATAACATGTTCAGTCGGTGATTTATTAACTTCAAAAAGCTAAACCAATGTTTGCATTTACTACAGTGGTGTAGTTTATGTGTTTTCTCCTCATATCTATGTGTTGCAGCTAAGAACACGAGTTAAGATTCGTTGTTTTCAGTTGTATGAAGGATGACGCACTGAAAGTAGTTGTTAGAAAAGCAAGCTTATAGTTGAGTTTGTACAAGATCTTAATGTGAAAGTGTTAAGGAGTGTTGCAGAATTGCTGAAATTATAATGCTGGATATAAATTCGCTTAAAGGAGCGATAAACGATACTGACACCTATTTTTATTATTATTTTTTTTTAATCATATAAACCCCCCTTTTAAAAGGGTTGTGAGTGTTAAAAAAAGACAATGAGGAAAAGCTAACTTCAAGGCGACACATGAAGATGATTCGGCTTCTTTTGGGTACTTTCAAGACTTTTTCTGGTTTGCTTCTTTAGCTGGTTTCCATGTTTGCGGGCTGCTTTTGGTGATCCTGCAAATTCTTATTAACCTGACAACAGCCAGATGCGGAGCGAGACATGCATCTGGCTGTTGTCAGGTTAAATTCTTATATGATTGGCTCGGGAACCAAAAAGTGAACATGGGCTACTCACACCTAGGTAGTTCTGCACCATGTCTAGGGTTGGGAATCGATATGATTTTCATGATTCCGATTCCCTTATCAATTCTATGAAACAATTGGATTCCCTTATCGATTCTGTGAAACGATTCAATTTCCTTATCGATTCTGTGAAACAATTAAATTTCCTTATCGATTCTGTGAAACGATTCAATTTCCTTATCAATTCTGTGAAACGGTTCAATTCCCTTCTCGATTCGGTGAAACGATTTGATTCTGTGAAACTGTTCGATTCCCTTATCAATTCTGTGAAATGATACGATTCCTGCCAAACGGTGCCATGGAATACACAGAACCGGTTCTGAACAAGAATCAGTTTTCGATTCCCGTCCATAACCATGTCTCTAGAGAAAAACCTGACTGTTTACTTCCATGTAATACATAATAGGTTTTTTTTTTTGTCTTAACAAAATTGGTGATATTGGCAAGATTGCAACTTTTTCCACCTGAGGTTTGAGATTACAGCTCAACTAAGCAATGTTGGTAGTATGGCTAACATATTCTAAGGTTATGTTTAAATATTGTTAGGGGTATAGTTTAAATTTAGGATTTTATTTTTTATTTTATTTTAATCAGTAATTATAAATGTAGACTGAAATGAAAGGCTTATATAGTGATACAGGTTGCAGCCATATTGCACAGCCCTATCAACAACTAGATATCACTACTGGCAAAAAGGATGAAGAAGATAACGGGAGGTAGTAGGGGGATGATAATGCGGCATTGGATTTTATTTGAATCTCTTATTTTATTGAAACACCACAATTGTGAAATTGTGAAGTAGCAGAATATTGACAGAGTTAGTTGCCTCTCAGCTACTGGTAACCACAGCTGTTGATGCTTCTAGAGCAGAGGTGTCTAAAGTGAGTCCTTAAAGGGCCAGTGTCCTGCAGATTTAGGAACTTTTCCTGCTCTAAACACAAGTGGAACAGATGGCCTGTTAATCAGGCATCAAAGAGGAGCACATGTTCTTAAGCAGAGAAACACCTAAAACATGGTTCCTCAATTTCAGTCCCCAAGGTCTGGTGTCCTGCACCTCTTGGGTGATACTTTGCTCCAACAAAACTTGAGCTCAATAACAGCTCATTTGCAGGACTCTGGAGATCTTCCCTCTATCAAATATACATCTAATTGTAGTCTGTAGCTCCTCTCACTTGCTTCTCTTCATTCAGCACTCATGGGCTCAGCAGTAAGTTTAGCATTTTGAGAAGAGGGTGAAAGACACCAGAGCCAACAATGCAGCAGAAGCTTCCTATTAAACCTGGTTTCCCTATATGGCAACAGAACTATAGGCTGATTTCTTTTTTACTTTAACGCATTAATGCAATAATTCATGCAAATGGAGGCCCAACCACATCAGGGCACATTTTGTGCAATACTTAGACATAGTTTTTACTAGCCTTACATAATGGATTAACATTTTTGGGAATCTTTTTTAATATCTAAAAATTGAATTTGGGGTTTTATTTAGAGGTAGGCTACAGTCATAGACATTAACAGAATAACCTCCATGTGAAATGAATCTACTTCATAACTTGCCTAAATAAATGTTTAAATCGCAGTCAGTGTTTTTGTCATGCACCTGTATAAACATTTTTTGTTATTCATAAGTATAGAAGAAAGAAGTTTGATTTGTGTCACATCAAGGGGAAAAAAAATGTTTCTTATGGTTCCTTGTTTTATAAAAATCTGGGTATTTTCTAGCCAAAGAAGCGTATTGCTGATTGACCCTTATTGATAAATCTAAAAGCAAGAAGTTAGGAGTTATTAGTGGAGTTAATGGACAATTATTAGTGGGATTAGTGGAGCCATGGCATAGAGATTGGAATCCTGAGGTTCTGAGTTTCAGCCCCACTCCCACAGAATGCCACTCTGGGTCTCTGAGCAAGACCCTTAACCCCACACCGCTCCCCGAGCGCCCCCCAATGGCAGCCCACTGCTCTCCAAGGGGATGGGTTAAATAGAGAGGTAAATTTCTCCAATGTGAGATCAATAAAGTTCAATTATTTATTATTATTATTATTTAGAAATATTGAGCTATTTTAATCAAAATCAACATAATATCCATTTCCAAAGAGCAATGTACAGGCATATATTTTTTAAGTTTTTTGCTATTATAAAATTTATTTATTTTTTTTACTATACAGGGAAAAGCTGTTCATCAGTGTCCCTAATGGAGCAGGTCCTTCGAGGACAGAATAAACATCTGTGCAGCAATGATGTCCCGCGTAGAAGTCCTAGAAAAAGGACTAAGATGGAGGAGCATGAGAGCATGAAGGAGGAGGAGGACGCTTTTGAAGGGTTCCCGCATCCTATTCCTTGGCAAAAACTGGAAGCGGAAGGACTGGACTGTGATTATGCTTTACTCTTCACAAAGGAGGAGGCAGATAAGCTTTTCAGACAGCTTGAGGAGGAGGTGGTGTACTCAACAGGTAGAGGTAACTTTCGTAATGGTACGGCTGTAATTTGCAGTATAGTGGTGTGATACCTGGTTGTTTTTGTTCTCACAGGAGAGGAATCAAAGGTCCAGATTTTCGGACAGGTTTATGATATACCAAGAAAACAAGCGACCTATGGGAATGCTGGCCTTACTTACACTTATTCAGGGGTAAAGCGTCTAGCTTGCCCCTGGACTCCGACCTTGGAGTATATCCGAAACGCAGTCACAGATGCAACCGGCCAGAGTTTCAACTTTGTGTTGATCAATAGGTATAGTGGTCCTTTACAGCTAATCCAAAGGTTGGAGTTGAATGTACTGAGCCTCTCTGTCTCTCCACCAGGTACAAAGATGGACGAGACCACATGGGGGAGCATCGGGACGACGAGAAGGAGCTGGACCCCTCCTGTCCCATTGCCTCTGTCTCTTTAGGAGCAGCTAGAGACTTTATCTTTAGACACAGAGATGCTAGAGGGAAACAGAGCAGCCGACAAATTGATCCTGTGAAGCTGGAGCTTGCTCATGGAAGTCTGCTCCTCATGAACCCTCCGACAAATACCTACTGGTACCACAGCCTCCCTGTTCGGAAGAAGGTCCTCTCGCCTCGCATTAATCTCACCTTTAGACGAATCCTGGTGGACATCAAAAAAACAATAAAAAAGGAAAATAACAGCAAGGACCCAGGTTAGAGAGCTAATTCTGAAAAAAAAAATTTCTGTCAAACTAAATAAAGACTTAAAAGAACTTTCAAACTTTTCTGATAAATCTGTCCGACCCACAGTATATAGCCAGTGACATATAAAGCTGCGCATCTTGTTTAGTTCATCGATCTGTTTTTGTTGTAAATCTGTATATTTATATAATAATGGTAGAATCTGAGCATCACAAAAGGTTTCTACTCCTTCTCTAATGACATCACAGAAGTAGGACTTTTTGAGTCTTTCCGTTCCTTTTATTCACCTCAATAAAATGCACATCTATCAGCGTTCCACTGGGGTCATCTGACACACTTAAATCTTGTGCCTTTCTGTCAACAACCTAAATCTACACAAAGTTTTATGATTTTTTTATTACTTTTCAATTTGCATACTCCCACAGTACAGAGGATACATATACATATTTTATTACCCAGTTGTGGTTTTAATGTTTGTGTACAATTGTCAGTAAGAAATAAAAAATAGTGGCTGGAAAACATTGTTTATGAAAGCTCCTCCACAAGTAGATCAAACTAATTTGTAGTTTTTAAGGAATCATTTTTACCTTCAGTGCAATTACAGTATGCCACGACGTAATGCACTGATCTGAAAATCAACCTCAGACGCAACGCACACAGTGACGAGGGTTTGATCCGTCAGAGTTAAATCACAAAGAATTCAATGTTGAATCGGGGCGGCAGCTAAATGCTGGGCGATGGGTAGCAGCCAAAACGTTGCAATTTCACATAATCCTGACGAGATCCGAAAAACCGTAGCAAAAACTAGCAAGCGGGTGATTATGTATGTTCACTAAGTAAATATTATGACTTAGACTTAGACTTAGACTTCATTTGTCATTTTGTATGCACAGAGTGCATACAGAACGAAATTGCGTTACATACAGCTTATGAACGTTGCATTGATATTTCAGATGGCACAAGTTATACAAAAATACAAAAAGTGCAGGAGTGGTCAAAGTGTGAACAGTGCAGAGGATAAGAGACAGTGTGCAAGTTGCAGTGGTTCAGTGCAAATAGGCATTTGTGCAAAAAATGCATTATTGAAAATAGAAATGAGATGAACAATTAAAGGGCTAAAAGTTAAACGTTCAGCAGCATTGATGCCCGATAACGTGCAATAGGTGCAGAGTTCGGTTTGTGGATCAAAGGTTCAACAGTCTGATGGCAGTGGGGAAGAAGCTGTTGCACAACCTGGTGGATCTGCAGCGGATGCTGCGGAACCTCTTTCCAGAGGGCAGCAGGGAGAACAGTCCATGGTGGGGGTGTGAGGGGTCTTTGATGATATTACGGGCTCGGGACACACAGCGCTGTGATGAAATGTCCTTAATGGAGGGAAGGGGAGCCCCAATGATTCCTTCTGCTGTCCTCACCACCCTCCTCACATTCTTCCAGTCAGAGGCTCTGCAGCCTCCACACCACAGAGAGAGACAGCTGGTCAGAACACTCTCTATGGTGCTTCTGTAGAAGGTTGTGAGGATGGGCGGGGGCAGGCGGGCTCTCCTCATCCTCCGCAGAAAGTACAAGCGCTTCTGTGCCCTCTTCACTAGAGATGAAGTGTTTACAGTGTTTATATAAATAAACCCTACACTTCTCGCTATAAATGTAATCAAAACCCATTTAAATGCAGAAACTGATTGAAATTATTGATTTTCCCACTAAAAGTTAGAGAAATCTCGGCCATGTTTATACCAAAAGGTTACAGTTTCACATTATCTTGAAAAATCTTTGCAAGAAACGAACAACACTGCATGAAAAGTGAGATTTTCGTCCCCGTAAACTCCCGCAGATCTCCCTGATTTTCGTCAGTTTCCGACAATTTGCAACCCGTGCTTGTCCGCGTTTGTCGTGCCACAAATTGTCGGAAACGGACTCTGACGTATGTGGAGAGCGATCAGCTGTATTAATGGCCCTAATTAGCATATGAATGCAGCAAACCCGGGCGGCTGGCCAGGTCTGGCTTGAATAACCTACTCAGTATTGGCTGAAACCACTATTCTCAAACAAGTGAAATCGCTCGTGATTGGCAGCAAAACCACACGTGGCCACGCCAGGCTTTAATTTTCTTACTGAGTATGGGACGGAACCACTTCTTTTTAAACTAGTTAAGTCACTCGTGATTGGTTGGCATATATATATATATATATTTACATATAAATTTACATATATATATTTATGAATATACCGTAAATTCTCTAATATTGGCCTGTATTCCATTAGCGGCCGGGACTCTAACATTGGCCGGTCTCGCTGTCAGAGGAGGTAAATAATGGCCGGTCTCTAATACAGGCCGGGGCTATAAACGTTTTTTCTGGGCATACCTCAACATTATACTTGTGGTAGTAACATACAAGTACCACAGCCCTGCGCTGCTGGACAACAGGCCCTGACTGCTGCCCGTCTGCGCGAGGAAGAGAACAGACACGCAGCAGAACATGAGGAGGAGCGAGAGTGATGAGGAGATTAAAGGGAGAGATGAAGAGGAGGAGGAAACTGAGGAGGAGGATTAAACAGAATTGGAGGATTTTTTTTTTTTTTTTTTTACTTCAAACCAAGCGAGACATGGTAACTGTACTTTTTCAATAAATGAACCTAGTGTTTTATAGGTTCAAATAGACACAAAATCACATTTTTATTCATTCCACTGGTGGTCTGTTTTGCTCAAATAGCAATAGAGGCCTGTCTCTAATTCTGGCCTCTTTCCAATAAAGGCCTGGACCGCGATGCACTTGAGTGAAATAATTCAATTCAATTCAATTCAGTTTATTTATATAGCGCCAAATTCACAACACATGTCATCTCAAGGCACTTTACAGTTCAACCAGATCATACAGTCAAATTGATACAAAGTTTTCTATCTAAGGAAAACCAGTTGATTGCATTGACTCATTGACTCAAATACAATCCCCCACACTAAGCATGCTTGTAGCGACAGTGGAGAGGAAAAACTCCCTTTTAACAGGAAGAAACCTCCAGCAGAACCAGGCTCAGTGTGAGCGGCCATCTGCTGAGGCCGACTGGGGTTCAAGGAGACAGAAGCAGAGATACAAAAAGCAGCTGTAAAAGGCGGCCCCGTCCAGGAAACACACAGCCAGGCAGACGAGCTCCAAGGCAGCTCCCATGCCAGAGGACGAAGAGAGCACATCCACTCAGTCACGGTCAGAGAAACAGGACCACACTGGAAAACAGGCCGATCTCCAACATCTATTAACAAGGGTGTTGATAGAAGCAGCACAGCTGATGTTTTTTTTCCAGGATGACGTCACAGCCAAACAGGAACAGACGAGGCAAAGCTACTCTGAGGAAAAGCAGAGAGAGCAGAAGGTTAGAGATTGAACTAACAGATTCTGCAGAATAGGAGAACAGAGAGAGAATGAAGCAGAATGATGAAATGGGGGTCCCTATGTCCTCCAAAAGTCTAAGCCTATAGCAGCATAACTATAGAGATAGCTCAGGATAACCTGAGCCACCCTAACTATAAGCTTTATCAAAAATGAAAGTTTTAAGCCTAGCCTTAAAAGTAGACAGGGTGTCTGCCTCACGGACTAAAACTGGTAGTTGGTTCCACAGGAGAGGAGCCTGATAACTAAAAGATCTGCCTCCCATTCTACTTTTAGAAATTCTAGGAACCACTAGTAAACCTGCAGATTGAGAGCGAAGTGCTCTGTTAGGAACATAAGGAACAATCAGATCTCTGATATAAGATGGAGCTTGGCCATTTAAGGCTTTATATGTGAGAAGGAGGATTTTAAATTCTATTCTTGATTTAACAGGAAGCCAATGAAGAGAAGCCAGGATAGGAGAGATATGATCTCTCTTTTTTATTTTCATTAGAACTCTGGCTGCAGCATTTTGGATCAGCTGAAGGCTTTTAACTACAGTTTGTGGACTTCCTGATAGTAAATAATTACAATAGTCCAGCCTTGAAGTAACAAATGCATGGACTAGTTTCTCAGCATCACCCCTGGACAGGATATTTCTAATTTTTGCAATGTTCCTCAGATGAAAGAAGGAAATTCTAGAAACCTCTTTGATATGGGATTTAAATGACAGGTCCTGATCAAAAATAACACCAAGATTTTTTACTTTATTATCTGAAATCAGTTTAATCCCATCCAAATGAAGTGACTGGCTAATCAGTTTCTTTTTCAGAGACTCTGGTCCAAAGACTATAACTTCTGTTTTGTCTGCATTCAGAAGCAGAAAGTTAAGAGTCATCCAGGTTTTTATGTCTTCAAGACATGCCTGTAATCTATGTAATGGGTTAGCTTCATCTGGATTTATAGACAGATATAGCTGGGTATCATCAGCATAACAGTGGAAATTAATCCCATGCTGTCTAATAATTCTACCAATTGGGAGCATGTATAAAGTAAAGAGAATTGGTCCTAGCACGGATCCCTGTGGTACTCCACAGGTAACCTTTGAGCGTGTTGAAGATCTATCATTAACATGAACAAACTGAATTCGATCAGATAGATAAGATTTAAACCAGTCTAGTGCTGTTCCTTTAATTCCAACAAAATATTCAAGTCTTTCTAAAAGAATATTATGGTCAACTGTATCAAATGCAGCACTAAGATCCAACAGGACGAGCACAGATACAAGTCCATTATCTGAGGCCATGAGAATATCATTAGTGACTTTCACCAGAGCTGTTTCAGTGCTATGATGAGCTCTAAAGCCAGACTGAAACTCTTCAAAAAGTTCATTATGGTGGAAGTGATCGCAAACTTGTTTGGCAACTACTTTCTCAAGAATTTTGGATAAGAAAGGAAGATTGGATATAGGTCTATAATTGACCAAGTCATCTGGGTCAAGAGACGGTTTCTTAAGCAGAGGTTTAATTACAGCAATCTTAAAAGCTTTAGGTACATATCCCTGTAACAGAGATAGATTAATCACATCTAAAATGGAGGAGGAGATCAAAGGGAATACCTCCTTAAATAACCTGGTTGGAACTGGATCTAACATACAAGTTGAAGGCTTAGATGAAGACAATAATTTTGCTAATTCAGAGAGTTCAACTGGAT